CGGCCCCCATGGGCAGGTCGCAGAGGCTCAGGAAGGGTCTGCCACCAGTGGCAAGGAAATGGGTTGATTCCGAGAGTGGGCTGACGTCAGGGAAGGGTCTCAAGAAGAGAATAACCAGGCCTGCTCAGCCTTGGAGTCTGGAATCCACAGAGAAGCCCAAAGAACAAGTGTAACTACTATGATAGGTAATAGTTTCCTGTACAGTAACTATACAATAGTTAGACAGGTAAAGGCAACCAAACAAATGGTTTCTTTGGGTTTGACAAAAGTCTGCAGGTATACGGGCCTCCTCGATGTCTTGGGACAGCGAGCTACTTCTGGTGTCGGCAGCTTCTGGTCCTTCAAGGGCCTTTGGAGTCGCTACGGGCAGAGCCGGCGTCAGAGATGGGAAGATGTTCGTTTGTACTTAGTCACCTTGCTTTTTTTTTTAAGATGTGAATTCTTGCGTTGACACCTTTCAGTTTAACTGCGCATAGTCAGTCCATAATACCTAATAAGTTTCCTCCCAGAGAGGCTGGGGAGGCTGTTACGGATGTCTTTGCCAGTGGGCAAAAATCCCCTGGCTGGAAGTTAGGGTCTTTAAATAAGCCTTCATCTCCCGGGACTGCACTGTGAAATCAATCAGTTACTAATTTATCTGTTTCTTTCCTGGGGCCCAAAACTCCTTGGTAATCACTCAGAATATCTCCTTTTGGATGACTGGTTTGTATGTCCCTTCACTGAGGCACACAGGATGATAGATGAGGATTTCATGAGGAGAAAGGCTGTATTTCCCCAAATAAGCAGGGCTCAGGTAGAGCAGTACTGTAGGGAAAGCTTTTGGCCAAGGCAGATTGAAAAATATTGGGAGATTTGCCTGGGTGAGTTTTCATTGTACTGTTTGTACGCGGCCCCAGCCCATGACCTGGGTGACAAGCACAGGGAATTCTGTAGAATAAGCCAGAGGCTCCCGATGGACAGCGTCATTTGCCCCGTAAATGAGTCCCTCAGCCACAGTGCAACTCAGAGGGAATGTCCCCCCTGAAATTTTTTCCCCCAATAATAACTGACCTCCTGTTGAGGCTGTTGCTCTCCGACAAGGGAATGTCCCCCCCGCCCCCGAGAGAAAACAAACACGTCCTCACGAACACGCACTGGCATCCCCAAGATGGTGGCATGTGGATCAAACGCAATGACCAGACCTCGTGTGGCTCTGAGGAAGTGGGCAGTATCTGTGGGAGCCAGGGATTGATTTTCCAGGGCTGTATTTGGGGCAGAGGGAACATGAGCTACCACGTTACGAGCTACCGTAGGGGGAGGTTTTCGGTAACATCATTCACGCCCTGGGATCATCTTTCTAGAACCCCACGCATTAGCTCATGCATCAGTGCACACTGGGGAGTGGCTGACTGAGCCCCTCCAGGTAAGACTGGGTCCTGAGTGGGTCCAAACCAAGGTTTGTCCGGATCAAAGGTTCCCCCCTTTTGTTGCCATATTCTCTTTTCTGCTTCTGTAGCTATTTGTTCGAAACATAAAAGAGTCTTTTATGACTTTATTACTAGGAAGCAAGAAGCATTCTTGAGTCTGGACAGTCTGGCTGTTCGTGAAGACTGCCTGGCTAGCTGCAGCGTCAGCTGAATGATTTCCTTTGGCTTCCACGGAGGCAGCTTTAGAATGTTCTGGAATCTTGATCATCACCGATTGCTTTTGGCATCTAAAAATCCAGCAGCCTGTTCCCCATTCTCTCTGGGCCCCTCCGCCCGGAGGAAGTTACGAAGCCTTGCTGCTTCTGTGACATTCTGAAGCCCTGAGACAGACCCCACAGGCGTGGTGGCAACTGGCATAAAATAAATACTGGCTCTGCCATCTCTGGCTGATTGACGAGCCCACATTAGAGGCGACTGGTTTGGCTTGTCAGGCAGATCTTAGCCTGTTCACGTAAACGAGAACCTTCAACTGTGTCCACCGTGGGGGTTATTGCCTACCCAGTGCGGGAGCGTCCCTGTTCATCCTTCAGATAGGACCCATCTGTCACCAAATCGAGTCAGCCCGGCCCATAGTCATTTCCTGTGAACCATCCCTGGGAACACAAAGGTGGTCAGTAAGGAGCGTGCGATCTTGGGGGTCTTCATTCTGCAGCAGAGGTCTCAGCGTTGCTGGGTTCAGACTGTCACCGTGCGTTCAAGTGACAGCAGGAGCACAGGAGGAAGCGCGTCCTTAGAAGCCTGTCAGCTGCTGGAACAGTCGCGTGTGAAGAGAGTTCGGTGGGGATTCGAAGACCCAGGAACGTCCAGGAAGTCACTGTAGCCCTCTTTTCTGCCTGTTTACATACCACGGCCCCGCAGAGCCAGCCCGGGTGCGGGGAGCCAGCCCGCGGGCTACTGAGTCTCGCTGCTGACTGCTGCCCTGCGGGTCCGCGGTGAGCTCTCTGGCTTGGAGTTAAAACTGCTACAGCATTTCACTTTCATGTATGAAAAGGAAGAAGGTTTGTATGTAATGTGCCCCAAAAGGGGGAGCTTCGGGTAATTCTGCTTGTCTTCTTCCTGGGGTTCCACGGAACTGGATCGAGTCTGATTATAGGAAGATACGTACTCTTGAAACTTGTATGGTTTTGTGAACCAATGTCTCCCCAATAAATTCACTACACACACACACACACACACACCAAAAATAGGGCGTGTAGAGGCTGGGCCGTTTGTGAAAAATTTGGAATCCACTTGGACTGGTACCCAGTCAGACACAGGGGCACCCTAAGCCCCTTTTCGTTTGTTGGGGTTTAGAAGCGGAAGGGGTGTTATTCCTCTGCATCGTTCAGGGGTAATGGGCAACTCGTCTTCAGGTGTGAGATAACCGGGCCGACAGAATCCAAGCTTGCCCTTTGAGAGCCCCCTTGTGGCCAGCTGTTGTAACAGTCACCCTGTGTCCTCTTGGAAGCTAGCCCGTCCTAGGGCCGTCAGCCTTGAGCGTCTGAAAGAAAGAAGTGGGATTCTTTGCACGTCCCGGGCGTTGCTGTCCAAGGTCAGCTGATCCTCCCAGGTCAAAGCAAACGCGTACCCACTGCCCTTTTTTTTTGTTTGTTTTACAGGGATGCTGGGGAAGACGCTACAGAAATTTATCACTAAAAAGTACTGCGCACCACAGGAATATGTGATAATAAGATGGATGAATTTGGAACCACAAGATGCCTGGGAGTAACTATTTTATTTATAGCTCTGAGACCCTCAGCAGTTCTGCAACCTTTCCCATTGGGTTTCTGTGCTGGAACGACAGGAGAACGAACTACAGGACCTTGGACGTAGAATTATAAGCCTGCCACGGGAGTAACCTCGAGCTCCGGGCTTCCTTTCAGGTTTTACATCAGGTCTTACAGGATACTGGTGCCGATTAGGTAGAGGCAATGGTCGGTCGATCGTTATTCGGACAGGAGTGGCTGGCTTGGTCTTGCCCATAGGTGTGCTGGGAAGGGCCCCGGGTTCCCCTGGAACGTCCGTAACAAACATTCGGTCCAGTCCGTCTTCTGATTGGCTTCCTCCAGTGGTTTCCTTCGACAGGATTCTTTCCCCTGTGGGTTCAGTGGGTAGGTCATCCATCTAGTTACTGCGAGGGGAAAGGCCACTTAGCTGGGGAGGGGTAAGGACGGACAGAGTTGCCCTAGTAACCACACAGGCCTTAGGAAGTTCCCCTTTGATGGTCCTTTTCATTTCTCCAAAAGTATTAGTGAGGAGAAGGGGAAAAGCCCTGGCCCAGTCCTCAGAGCACTCCCAGGCTTGCTCCTGTTTCTTTTCTTTTTTACAAATCCCATTTCCATTTTTCCCATCTTTCTTAGGGTGACCCGACTTTTTATAGTGGGAACACACTCCTCTCTCCCTTGTCTGAGAGACCTCGGAGGTCCTCTGATTGCTTAATTGCTTAATTGCTGGAGCTGTAAGTTCGTGATTTTGGCAGCTTTTCCTCTCTTTTGAATAGTTTGAGACCGTTGATGGGCCAGAACTGCCAGTTCATTCGTGTGCGCAGTTGGCCAGTTCCACTCAGGTCATTTAATCCGAGTTAATAAGCTCTTCCTCTAGTCCTTCCAAAAGTGCAGAATTTAGCAAGGGGTCATTTTGATGACCCTTAAACCACTCTGGGCACAGACCCGAGTGTTGACTGAGCTTTTTTGTGTTTTTGGAAATGTTTACAGAAATCGACCTATAGTTCACCAGCCTTACCTTGCTATCTTGATCTAGTCCATTTTCTGGGGGGTCAGGGGGGAGCCCTCGGGGATGGCAGGGGAAGGCCCCGCATTTTCCCTGACCTGTCTCTCTCCTGTTCGAACAAGCTTTAACCTCTCCAGGGGGTTCCCAGAGAACTTTATCACCCATTCTGTTGCTCTGCTCTCAGAAACCCACGGGTGTAGTAACTGGAATAGGTCAGAATGGCTAGGACCGTGGGCTCTTACGGTAAAGACAAATTCCTTTGCGAACCCATCAGGGTCCTGGAAGGAGCGAGGAAATGTTAGATTGATTAATGCTGTTCTAGTCCAACGGATATTTGCAACCACTGCCTCCCCTCTGCCCACCACGGGCTATTCTCCAGAGGGAGCTGCCGGGATTTCGGGTTGTTTTTTATTTTCTTCGCAGTCTTCCTCGGTCTGGTTTTCTATTCTGAGTGTCCCTTAGGCCAGCTGGGAGCTGTGGTGGAGGAGGTGAAGGAGAGAGAGGCAGTGGGGGGAAGGAGAGTGTGTCCGGACGGTAAGTGAGGGGCCCGGCAGGCTGCTGGGGGAGTGGGGAAGGTGGTGTTGGCTTGGAGACGCGTCGGAAACAGTCTCCAACACTTTCTCACTCACGTCGGGGAAAGAAGGGACTCTCTCTGCGCCGTTCCGGATGCCGCTATTCACCAGTTGTGATAAGCATCCCGTTAAACTTCGTTTGACTTTAGAAGGTGGCTTTTTTGTCCCCTGTGGTACATGCCAAAATTTTTAATTAATTAAAAGAATAAAAATTAGGAGTCAAAGGAGCTCCATTGAGGGCATCTTACCTTATCACTTCTAGTTAAATCTTCCCGTTGCTGTAAGTTGTGTTACTGGACGGTGCACCTGGGGGTCTGCCCAGGACCCGCTGGTGGTGTGTGAACCCACCTTGCTCTCACGCCTCCTTCGGGCAGGAACGATGTCACAGCTCGAGTCCAGGTGACTATGACGGTGCATTTATTAAAGCCGGTTCCATAAAACAAGGGTGGGCATAACACAGAAGTAGCAGGAGGGCCTAGGCAGGGCTGCCCTGGCTCTCTGGAAACGCTCTGAGCCTGGGCAGGGCTGCGTTACCTCCCTGCAAGTCAGAGGGAAGGGGCCTTGGGGACAGGCTCAGGGGGTCTGCCCGGGACAAACTGCCCATTGCTGCCCCATTATAAGGCTCATGGCATCCCCCAGAGTTTAGGAGGTACATGGCCATGGAAGGTGGGGGAGGGCAAGGTGTGGGTCCCACATCCTAAGAACTTTGAAGTGTGGAGATCCCCGGGAGGTCCCAGGGGAGCTCTCAGTAGAACACCCACCAGCTTTCCAGGTGTGTCCTCTCACGGTCCTGGTCCCAAGGCTGGTGTGGCATCCCTTGTCTGGTTTCGCCGCTTTTCTGGGCCTGGAGCTGAAACACAACTGAGGCCTAGACACCATCTCCAGGGCGGGAAGGCCAGGGCGGGAGAAGTTACCCTGGGCGTGAGGTCCTCGGCCTCCCAGCTTTGCCCCCGCCGGGCCCTTGGGCCTTCTGCCCCGGGGACCACCTGCACTGGCTGCAAATTGCTCAGCCAGTGTGTTCAGCTCTGTCTCAGTTTCCCCGTCCCACTAGCCAAGGAATTGTCCTAACTACTTACTCTCCTGCCTCATTTGCAAGCACAGGCCTCCTACAAATTATTTATCTCCAGGGGTCTGTGGGCACCAAGGGCCGGGGCTTTGGGCCCCTGCAGTCACAATTGTCCCATGTTAATTTTAGTTTCCTTCTGAGATCCGCAGAGTCTGAACACAGTCCCGGGGACGGTGTGCAGTGGGTGGGAGCATGCTGCTTACGTGCCGTGCTCCGAGGGGCCGTCAGGTCTCCGTCGCGCCAGCCCTCTGGTGTGTGTGTGCCTCGGTTTCTCTCCCGGGCTGTCTAACACAGTGTGAGGACTCGGAGCACAGGGCGGCCAGCCTTGATGTACACGTCCCCACAGGAATTAGATTGTGTGGGGACTGCCTGTGGGGCCCGGCCTGTTTGGAGGGATACTTTCGAACATCTCCATGCAGATTCTTAGCCACCTAAGAATCCCTGCAATCCCACCTGGACGAAGTAGATGGCCCTTATTTTCGAAGCCAAATGGGTTCAGAGTCTCATTTACCCAGCAAACTATTCACGGCAAATAGATCCAATTGAATAGCCAAAATTAAAAACCTAGCCACCTGCTCCCCTGCCCCCATCCCGGAGTCATCTCAACCCTTAATCTTTAGTGCCACCTGGGGGATTTTTTTTTTTTAAAGAACAGCTTAAATAAAGTCAGGGCCTCCTACCTTCAAACAAGGATGTCCAGAATTCTAAGAAAAACTCACGCAAGTTCAGCTGGCACAAACTGGGGAGTGACTAAGGCACCACGGGCTGCTGTTCGCACCCAGCACCATCCCCCAGCCCACAGGGTGGTCCTGAGTGAGCCTCATTGGAATCCTGACCACGCCAACTAAACGTTGAAGTTAGAAGATCCAGCCAAAGGGAAAACATCTCCTGAGAGAGTATCTGAGCCAAATCGATGACCATTCCCTGGAAGCAAATCTCAAAGGACTGAGAAGGGCAGTTTCACAGCTTATTTTATGCCCTGGAATCAAAGGAGCAGATGGCAGGAGGGTGACATGAACTTTGCTGGTGGCAGATTAAGGAGGTGGGAGAAAGCCAAGGAAAAAAACTCTGGGACTGAATAAAGAGTATAACGGAGAGACAAATGCCTCTTTGACATCCGTGGGGACAGGATGGTTAGTAATTAACAGTCACAGCCCACAGAGATGGCATTCAAGGAGAAAGATAACAATGACACGTTCTGTGGTCTCCAGCTATGGTGATGTGCAGGAGCCCTCGGGAGTCTGGAAAAGATGTCACAGGTATGTGTGATCTTAGATGCAAAAAGACAGCAGACAGGCTCACTTATGGTCAAGGCTGACCTTCGTCAAGGACTATACAGGCCTAGGATGGGACTACCCAGCCTGAACCATTTTTAGTTAGGAAGTTTTACGTTCAGACCACCCTATGTATTTCCTTTTGGTCTCTGAGTGTGTAAGGCCAGCGTGCAGGCCTCCCTTGAGCTTGTCAGGTTTAGTGTGTGGCCCCTTTTGCATCCACAGAGGCAAGTGATGTAAATGAGCAAAACTGAGCTGAGTGAGTCACATGCAAGGCAATAGGGAACAGTGGGGACTATGGCAAACCAAAGTACTTGCCACATCCGAAAGGTCCTGCTGCTATTTGGCTCCACCGAATTGTTGGCCATGTGGAAATTGGTACCCAGAATTGCCACAGCTTTGGGAATTTCTTTTAAAAAAAAAAAAAAAAAAACCAAGAAAGTCAGATTTTTACATGAAGTTTCCCAAGTTTCAAAATGCTCTTCAGGGTGGATTCAGCCCACAGGTCACGAGTTTGCAAGCCTTGCTTTAGTGAGACAACTTTTTCCGTTTTCACTCCCAGCTCTGGCCTCTCCAGCTTGGCTCTCTGACTCTCCACAGGCCATGGACAGAAGCCAACTGGGACCCGGCCAGAAGGCAACCCCCTTCCCCGCTGACCTCAGACGCACCCTCCCCAAAAGAGGTGCTTCACCCGGGGTCAGGCTGATGGGCCCAGCTCCTTCCTGCAGGGCGAAGTCCCTCCCAAGGGGCTCCTTGCAGCCTGACCTCTGGCCCTGGCCGCCCAGCAGCCTGTGCCTGCCAGACAAGCCGGTACTTGTCTTAAACCCACTGAGATCCAAGCCCAGAGGCTTTCCCTTTCTGCAGATAAAGACCAGACTTGTCCCCATGACTCCCAAGGCCCTCAAAGGCAGATTGTGGCTGACCCTCTCGGCCTATAACTTGGCTCTTCACACTGGTCTCTGCTGACACCCAAGCCTAGCTGCCCCCCTGGCCCCTGCCCCCCTTCCTCAGGTAGAGGGTTCTCCACCACACATCTTGATGTCTCTCATTTCTGGACCTTTGTATTGGTTGCCCTAGAACCCCACCTGAAACACCCCTCCCACCCCACTCACCTCCACTCAACACTCCTTTGTCTTCTCCTTCCTCAGGGCTCGGCTCAGAAGTCACCTCCTCCAGGAAGCCCTCCCTGCCCATCTGCACTAGTTTAGAGACAGAGGCGAGGGGTTCCCACAACCCACTGGAGTTCCCCATCACAGCATAGCACTTAATCAATTCTCTGCCCTTGAGAGCAAGGGGACATTCCTTAGGGACACTGACCAGGAATTCTGTGTGTCCAAGTGTATGTCTAGCACCCAGCATGATGCCTGGGGCCCAGTAAATGCTTAAATATTTGCAAAAGGGGATAAAAAGGAAAGAGGGGAAGAGAAAAGGGAGGAAGGAAGGAAGGAAGGAAGGAAGGAAGGAAGGAAGGAAGGAAGGAAGGAAGGAAGGAAGGACCTTCCACTTTGTTTCCATCTCTCTCTCTCTCTCTCCCTATTCTGACCCTCTGTCTCATCTCCATCTCGACCTACAACTTCTACAATCTCTTGCTCTAAGGACCCAGGAGCGGCTGCTCGGTTTCTGACCCTTCCTCCACATCTCTGGCCCAGGTTTCTGGGAGAGCCGGCGGCCCTGCCCCTGGGCGCCCCGCCAAATACCGCTGCTTCCAACCTCAAGACATCACGAGTCTACAGTGGTCGCGCCAGATGTTTCCCCTCGGGGGTCCTTAGGCTTTGTGTCCGGATTGGGGGGTAGGGGTAGAGAGGTCGCAGACGCCAGGAGCAGCCGGCGGTGGAGAAAAGAGGCGGAGAAAGAAAAGAGGAGGGGGGCGAGAGGGGCGGACCGGAGTGCGCCGCCCCACCCCCACCCCGCCCCCACCCCCTACTCCCCGCACTGCCAGCTCCCTCCCAGCCCAGCCGGCCACATCTGGCGGCTGCCCTCCCTTGTTTCCGCTGCATCCAGACTTCCTCAGGCGCTGCCGAGAGGCTGGGCATCTGGAGCTTTAAAGATACAAAGGGACTCCAGGACCAGCGAGCGCAGGAGGTGGCGGCGCGGGCGGGGGCGCCGGGTTCGGAACATGAGCCGCTGAGCCGGGCAAAACCGAGGCCACCGAGTCGAGCGGTCCCTCGGAGCCAGCCGGGCGGCGACGCGCCCACAAGCACAGAGCCAGCGACCCCCGGGGCGACGCGCCGGGCCCGGGAGCGCAATGACTGAGGCGCCAGGCGCCTGGGGCGCGCTCGCCGGCCCCCTGCGGGTGCTGTGCGTCCTGGGCTGCTTGTTGGGACGCGCCACCGCCCCGCCATCGCCCATCATCAAGTTCCCTGGTGATGTCGCCCCCAAATCAGACAAAGAGGTGGCTTTGGTGAGTTGCTCCTCGGGCTTCCACGACTCAAGTTTAAACAAACTCCATAGGCAGAGGTTGGTGGTCTCCTCGCCACACCTCCCCTGGACCTGGGGCTGGGGATGGGGGACACACAACGTGGGGGAGGGGCTTCAGTAACCAGCTTAGCGAGACGTCTGTGGCCAGCTGGAGACGGGATCTGTTTTGGAAACCGAGGGGGATGCTTTGTGATTGGAGAAGGCTTTTGATAAACAACTTGGAAACTTTAGGGACCCAGCAGGGGTGCAAGAAACGAGCCGGGGAGGGTAAGGGGGTGCTTTGGCAAACAGCTGGACACGGCCTCTCTAAATAACAGGGACACTGTCTAGAATCTGAAAGATTTGGCAAGGGGGCGGCTTTGTAAACAACTTTTGAACACATCTGGGGGGGGCGTCTGCTAACAAGGCTCTTGGCAAACATCTTGGTAGGTCCTTGGCAAAAGGCCTCAGGGAGTCCCTTTTGCAAGCGGTGGGGATCTTTATAAACCTCTGTGGCACTTTGGGAAGGGGCTCCCGTGGCACACAATTTGGGTAAACTCCTTAGTTTGGGCACTCTGAGCCAAGCGGGACTTGGCAAACATCTGGGAACTTTTAGCACACATGGAAGAGAGGGTCCTTGAAGAAACCATTCGAGGGGAACTTGGGGCAAGAGTGGAGCCGAGAGCGCATCTTTTTCGTCTGGCCCAGTGGGTAAGGTGGCCAGAAGGATCAGATTCGGGAAAGTTTCCTAGAACTTCTGCAAAGGGATAGGAGGCTGGGAGAGAGGTGGCCAGTGGGGCGGAGGAGGGGCAGGCGTGGGAGGCCCTGCGCGTGGGGCAGGGGCGGTGGGAGAGTGGCCAGCAGCCCTCCCTCCTGGCGGGCCTCCAGTCACGGCTCTGATGTGGCTCTGTGAGCCCGCTGCCTGGCTCTCGGGGCTCTCGGGGGTGGGGGTGGGCAGCGAGGTACAGGCGGGCTGGGGGCAGCGGAAGGGCATTACCCCTTACCCTGACAGCCAGCGCCTCGAGCTGGGGGACCCCTCAAGATTGTCTTTCTGGCCCACATGAAATCTTCCACCTTGTGGGTTTGCCCTCTGCCCCCAAAATCTTACTCTCCTTCAGCCTAGTTTCCTATTTGCCCAAGACACCAAGACAGGGCTGCCATGCCTTCTGGTCACCCTGGCAGTCCTTTGTTAGGGTGTGACCTCCCCCAGCCCCTGTCCGAGCATCTAAGCCTCTGCCCCCTCTGGATAAATGGGTTGGGAGACCTAACATTTTGCGGGGGGTGGCTACTATTGTTTCTTAAGGGTCTGAAGCTGGCTGGCCTCCTGATGTGGCTGTCCATTGGGGGTGAGGGTGGAGCCTTGGACCTTGGAGCCTCGGCAGGGCTACCTGGGCCTGCCACACAGAGTGTGGGAGTCGGGGGAGACCGAAGGGATGCAGGGGAAGCTTGAGAAGCAGGCGCAGGGCTTTGTTGCCTGGCTTCAAATCTCAGTGCGCTGCCCAGCTGGCTGAGTCACAGCCTCTCGGGTTCAGCTGCTTCTGGACACTGAGAGTGATGATGGTCCCTACCTAGGACATTTTGAAGTGGCTCGTGGTAAGCACTCAGTAAGTGCTAGTCATCAGCATCACCATCGTCATCCCCTGCACGACCCCTCCAGACAGGGTGAGGGCCCCCATAGTCAGGCTCCTGCCTCCTCTCCCCGTGCCAACATGGCACCCAGTGCATTGCACTTTGCATGGGTCTCTGGTCTGCCAGCCTTCCCACGCTGGGGTCTGAACCCCAGAGCCCCAAGTGCCTCGGTCCTGTTCACCAGGTCATTTCACGGGCGTGGAACGTGGGAGGTCTTAACGTGTTTGTTGGACAAACGAGTGAGCTGGCCAGTCCCTGATCCTCTGCACAGGCTCGTTTGGTTTCAGTCCCGGTTGGGGCGGAACATCTGCTCAGCCCACGAAGTCCAGGGCCACTTTCTTTTTGGAAATGATGGATCCAGGGTCCAAGCTCAGGTCTGCCATGTGCACAGCCCCTGAATCTCCGTACAGGAAAAGTGAGAAGAATAATCCTATGTCATCAGCAGTTAGGTGGCTTGAAGGGTGATGGCGGTAAAGAGGGGCAGCGAACTACAGTTGTACAAGCCTGGCTCTGAGACAGGATTGCTCGGGGCCAAATCCAGGTCTCCCGATTGTGAGCTGGGTGATCTTAGGCATGTTTCTTAACCTCTCTGTGCTGTAGTTCCTTCTCCTGTGTGACAGGGATGGTAACAATAACTACATTGTAGAGTTACGGTGAGCATTCGTGTTGCACGCTGACTTTGGTCCTGGGGATGTAGTAAGCGCTCAGTGCACAGTAGCCATGTTCTCTACAGTTAGGATGTCACTCAGCTGGCACGTGTCAAAGCTGGCTTGGGGACCCAAGATTCCCCAGTGCCCATGAGCCCCTGTGTTGTGTCCCATCTGGGCTGTGGGGCTGGGTGGGGGCTGGTTCCCGCAGCTGGCTTTGATGGGGACTCCGCCTTCCTAATGTCGCTGCTCACCTCTGGTGCTCACTTCTTCCAGAAATACCTGAACACCTACTACGGCTGCCCCAAGGATAAGTGCAACCTGTTTGTGCTGAAGGACACGCTGAAGAAGATGCAGAAGTTCTTCGGGCTGCCCCAGACCGGGGTCCTGGACAAGCGCACCATCATGACCATGCGGAAGCCGCGCTGCGGCAACCCCGACGTGGCCAACTACAACTTCTTCCCCCGCAAGCCCAAGTGGGACAAGAACCAGATCACCTACAGGTGCCGAGGCAGGGCCGGGGCAGTGGGGCCTCCAGGCTGCAGGGCATAGGGTCTCCCTGGGCCTCTCCCCACTCTGGGGATCCGGAAGGTGACTTCTGAGGGCTTGGCTTCTTAAGGAGTTTGCATGCAAAGTTCTTAGGAACTGGCATCAGACAGACCTCACGCTTCTGGCTGTGAGGCATCAGGCTACTTATTTTTCGGTTCCCAGAGCCTTGGCTTTCCAGTCTATAAAATGGGACTGAAGCAAAACCTTCCACCTAGGTTGGTTGGGAACTAAGTTAGATCAGGTTTATAAAGGGCTTTCCCAGTGTCCAGCATAGAGGAGCAGTGTGACAAAGGCTGGTCGCTATTATTACTGGGTGGGGTCATTGGGGCAGGTGGACAGAACCTGACGATTGGCTGCTAATTGCCTTTATGGATATAATGAGTTGTTGCAATTGGCTGTTGACTGGGCTGAGAGCTCTGTTCTGCGTGACACGTGCTGGCTTCCTAGGATAATATCTCTGCCCAGTGTCCCCTATCCCCCTGTGTGTCCCCACAGCGGGAAGGAAGGGAAGAGAACCCTGAGACAAGGCCCAAAGGCCCTGGCTAGCTTTGGGCTGCACGGACCTCAAGGCTTATGGACGGGCTGTTTTCCCAGTGAGCTGTGTGCGTGCATACACACCTACGTGTACACACTTTGTGCACATGCTCACGTGTGTGCATGCACACACATCCTTGCCATCCTTGCACATACTTGTGTACTCACAGTTTTGCACACACACTCATGTGCATATGCGTACTCCTTCCTTTGCACACACGTGCACACTCACGTGCATTTCTCCCACCTCCAGGATCATTGGCTACACGCCTGATCTTGACTCCGAGACGGTGGACGATGCCTTCGCCCGCGCCTTCCAAGTCTGGAGTACCGTGACCCCCCTACAGTTCTCTCGCATCCACGACGGAGAGGCCGACATCATGATCAACTTCGGCCGCTGGGGTAGGCAGGACTGGGGCCGGCAGGTGTTCCATGCAGAGATGCGGGCGCCGTCTGCCCACTCGAGAGGCGCAGCTGAGACAGGAGAGTAGAAGCTGTGTACACCGAAGTGGCAGGTGTAGGTGGGGTCAGACATGGGAGAGCCACATGGATGGGAGGGCCGATGCCACGTACACCAGAGAGCAGGTGGTCTTTCTGCACCATCCAATATGATAGCTCCTAGAAACACAGGGTTGCTTACATTTAAATCAGTTGCAATTAAATAAAATTAAAACTCAGGGTCACAGTCACGCTGGCCACATTTCAAGTGCTCAGTAGCCTAGCTACTGAGCTAGGGGCTAGCTGTCATTGAGCTGAGCAGCGCAGAGAGCTCTGTGGGACAACACTGGCAGGCACCGGGGGTCTCCAGCTATGGAAGTGGGGCAGTGTAGACAGGAAAGTGGAAAAGAAGCGGGGGCAATAGTACCATGTGGGCAGGTGGTGTGAACACTGGCAGTAGCGGAGACACACGGGTAGGCAGTGTAGACACCATGAGCAGTACAGTGATACAGGTGAACGGCACAGCCTCGGAAAGAACGGGGCCCTGTGGGTGGCTGGCATGGAGCTGGGTGGCCAAGTGGGCATAGGGCTTAGTGTTGTGAGTGTCAGCGGGAGACTTGAGGCAGCCGTGGAGGCCTTAGGA